TGGGGGGGGGGGGTAGTCGTCACTGGCACAGAAAGACAGAGACAGTAAAACAATTTCAAAACCCTTGCTCACTCTACTCTCAATGTTTTGTCCGTTTCCCTTTCGGAGAGAAACTTTCCATCATTTACTTCCCGACAAAAGTTAAGGCACACAAAGGGCAATAAAAACCTGACAAAAACCCTTCTTCGCTGTATCCAAAACAAAAGGTTTTAGTTAGGGTTGGCCTTCAAACACTACCCTATGTATGGATGTTATACAGAGGTTCGGCCAGGGATGCAATTTGTGTCAGGGTTGTTCTGAGATGTTGAATTACAGCTCAGCCTGCCACATCTAACACGTCTGTAACCTATTACTTGAGCAATGCCACAGTAACAGATTGACACTAAGGCGACACAAAGAAATAACGCTATGTTACTCCAGCAACTATGTTACTCCAGCTGTTGTGGAACTACAATTCCCATGATGCGCTGCAAGACTGACAGCCACAGGCTCACTCCTATAAGCAGAGGCATGATGGGATATGCAGGTTCACCGCAGCTGGAATGCCAAGGCTGCCTACCCGTGGATTATAGTGCGTCTTTATGCATCCAACATTAAGACCTCCAGCAGCAAAAACAAATAAATACAGGTTCTCTTCCGATCCTTCTTGCCACTGCACTGAAACTAAACAAGCGACTGCTATATTCCACGTGGGGTTATAAGGAAGTATGTCACTTGTAGTTCATCAAACTCCCATCCTAATTCAATGAGCAACGTTAATCCACATATCTGTTGAAAGGAACTGGGCCCACTGCCTGTGACCTAATACAACTGAGGTTCCCATCCAGTACTGAACACAACGCTGCAAAGGTGTGCTGTGGCCCCGGTTAATAGCAGTAGGGCAATGTCAGCTTTCAGGATAGGAGCCATGTGATGTTTGCAACAGGTTCCTTTTAATGCTCTTTATTACTTAAATGCAAGCAGGTTTGTGCTAAAATGTGAGAAGGCATGAATACAAATAACTGTGTCCAGCCATTCTGCAAACGATTTACCAGCCCACTTTTCCCCTCCCTGTTTTAATAGAATTCTTAGCAGGTTTTCTTGAATATCTGGTCTGAGGAGTTTCTAATGACTTCCACAGACGATTTATACAACCTAACACTGTATAAAGCCCCACCCTGTGCCCGTAGCTTGACAAGCTCCTCATTCAGCGAGTCCACAGACTCCTCCAGCTGCCTCTTCTTGTGCTCCACATTCTGAACATACTCCGTCAGAGACTTGATCTTTGCTTCATGCTAGAAAACAGACAGTCAGATTTTCATAATAATGATGATATAAAGCAATGCATTATCAACATATTACCTGTCTACATGAATAGATGCAGAAAACCTAGACCACAAGGACAACTTTACTTGATGCCGATTTTCAGCTTTACAAGCAAATTATATTACAGCCTGGCTTATATTTAAGAGACCGGGGTAGTGAGATACCGAGAAGAACGGTCCAGAAAGTACTACAAATTACTTCCATTACAGCCTCCTGGGATACAAACTACTGTGTGAAAATCATGTGAGCACATGAGCACTGAAGCACAACTTTGTGGCTCCTTGTGGTGCTTTTTCCGTGCATCAGCCTATTGCTATTTCCCTTTCTTCTGTACAGGGGATTGCAATAGGCCGATACAGGTACTTACACTGCACGCATTAAAAATACATTTAAGTATTAATGAATAGGCAGCTGCATTCATTTTAGTATTTAAAATCTGCCTGGAGTTCAGCTTTGAGAAAGTCATAACTAGATTTTCAATACTTGGCCTCTTCTAATACCAGTCATTGTACACTACACCTTTATACACCACCTATCACCCATGTGTGTGTGTGTGTGTGTTGTGTAACTCACCTGAGAAATGCGGAGCTGACATGCAGCAAGCTCTTTCTCATTCTCGTCAATTTTCTTATTGCTGTCAGTCTGGGTGCCCTCCAGCTGCTTGCAGCGCTTCACCATGCTCTTCACCTCCGATTTCATCTTACTGATATACAGTCTGGCTATTGTGAACTCTTCATCGATCATGCCACTCACTTCAGGTTGCTAACAGGATAAAACAGGAGATGAGAGATTTGCTTATTGTCTGGTAGGTTACCCCATATTGGACAAATGGACCAACTGGCAGTTTTCATGAACATGCCTACTGACAGTCAGAAGAGGATCAGTGTGCACCGGCCTATTAAAATAAACCAATGTGGCAGATCAAACATATTTCACAGAAAAACAGAAAATCCGAATTGTTTCCTTCCTAGACTCATACTAAACTATAAAAATGAATCAAGCGCATAATTATAGTTAGCTAACACGTTTCTTTATTACATCCAGACCAATAAAGAAAATCTACAAATCAAGCATTTCACATTTCCTTGCACCTACTGTCCAAATGTTTTGGCTGGTGCCCGATACAACCATCTACAGACATAGGCCAAGCTTGAAAACTGACTTTTGCATTTGTTTTCTGCATGTTCTCCCTGTGCTTGTGTGGGTTTCCGCCGGGCACTCCTGTTTCCTCCCACACTCCAAAGACATGCTGGAAGGTTAATTGGCTCCTGTCTAAATTGGACCTGTAAGTATGCATTTGAGATGGGGACCGCAGATTGTAAGCTCCTTGAGGGCAGGGACTGATGTGAATGTGCACTAACATGTATGCAGCTCACATGTAAAGAGCTGCATACAATTTTCTGCGCTATATAAATACCTGTAATAAGTAAATAAAATTGAAAAAATATTTTTTATATGAAACTATTTTGATAATGTGATGTCATATACTTGTGGAACTTACAGAAAATAAATATTCTTAATAAAAAAATATTTCAATTCAGAGCCTCTTTTTTTACTGGTCACATGACAAATGTCAGGAACTGGGCACACAGTCTCTGCCAGAGGCTTCTGGGGGACCAATGTTCAAGCACAGTAACCTGTCAGGGCTTTCACATTAACAGTCTGTTGACATCAGTGCTCAAAGATCTTTGCAAGAACGGAGACCTAGTCAAGGGATTGGCCACTGGAGTAAGCCCAGTTTTCTGTGTATAATAATTAAAGTGAAGAGCACTTCCTGTTTCCTGCCGGGCAATGGAGGCTTCTCACACCCATTCAGTTTTACACTCTGCGAGTGTACTACATCTCATTTGTCTGTATTCCAATAATCGATTATGTCGATTAGTTGTTGCAGCCCTATTCTCATCCCAATTGTTCACTCCCCCTCCAAGCTTTTTTTTTGCAGTACAGCATGTCTTTTTTCCCATCAGCAGTATCAGAGCGTTAATATGTATGCATGTAACAAATATGCACAGGTATATTGAGCTATGGACACGAAGCTTTGGAAATATGGTGAGAAGCTGCAACATTGTGGCTGTTGATTAACGCATGTTTAATCTTTGGTGTGCAAACATGCTAATAACTCACAAATAAATACAACATATTATTTGGTCACTGAAGATAGGGTACACATTGCTAGTCCTCAGGCTCCTTTCAGTGCTGTTCACATAAAAGACAAGACCTTTGAACACAATATTTCTGATAAAGGAGATCAGAAACCACATTATCATATTTAAAAGGAGAGGATCAACCAATCTGAAGTCTCATGCTCCCTTTCGCAGAGACCACATAACTAAAGCTTATTTACTTATGTGAGCAGCATTTACCTTCTCTGTGACAGGCAAATAGTTCAGCCCTTTTAATTATTCTCTATTTCTCCACCACTATGGGGCGCTAACCATAGCTTTATATTACATTTGAGTATAGATGAACTTTATAGTTACAGGGAAGTGTTTCAGGTTTCCCAATAACGATTCATTGTATCATGCAGTTTGAACTACAGAAGAACACTGATTACTTTAAACTAAATATAAAAAGTGAAAATGGCAATAATATAAAATGGGAAATACTAAACCCATTCTTCTTCCAAAAATGGAAAACAAAAAAGACAGACAGTGAGGGGAATTTATCAAAACTGGAGCAGACAAAATCTGGAGCATCTGTGCATGGCAACCAATCAGCCTCTTTCATTTTCAAATCGTAACTGAAAAACTGAAGAGAGAAGCTAATTGGTTGCTATGGGCACCTGCTCCAGTTCTGATAAATTTCCCCCAGCGAGTTTCATTGACTGAAGACAAGGCCAAAATCACATGGGGTCTACAGACAACCTTTACGGCCTTATCTCAGGACAAGTCGATATTCCCCAACAGTAAGTGTCTCATGTGCACCCCAATAAACAAAATAAATAATTCTCTGATCTCCACTGTATATTCATCAGAAAATAAAAAAGGTTTGACTGACGGGCAAAAGATCATCAAAAGAAAATACTTTCCAAAGTAGTTTAAACACTAGCCAGCATTTAAAGCAATCCAAATGGGCACAAACATTCCTATACTCTTTATAACATAAGCCTGGTTAATTCCAGGCTGTCTGTATTAAGTAGATCTAAGGAACATTTCCAAACTGAGCAAATGAGTTAAGTGAGGATGTATCAGAGTCAGGAGGGGCCAGCAGACAGCATACTGAGAACACTGAGGCTTGCATTATTAATACATACTAAATATATTCATGAAGAAAGGCAGATGAAGACAGTGGACAAATTACCTTGGAATCATTATTTCCAACTGCGATACCAATTTCGGCAAGATCTTTCAGTAAAGAGGTCATCATTTCTGTAGCTCTTTTCTTTTGGTGGTTGGTCATTTCTTTTAATTTTTGGAGTTCAGAGTCTAAGCTGCTAAGAATAGCCTAAAAAGAAAAAAAAAAGAAAAAACAAAGTTCAACTTCATATAGTGTAACAAAGGGAAAAAAAGCTGTCAAACTTGGCTTATCCCCAAAGATTTTTGAGCGATTCTCAGGCTGATCACAATGCGATAACTTAACAGGCAGCAACCGAGTCGGGAACTGACGCATGCAGAAGCCAAATCGCCAATATGCAATATCAAGTACAGATGGCCCAACTGCGGCTCTCTATTTTTTGTCACTAAAAGCACAAGTTACCTAGCGTCTTAATGCCCATCTCCAGGCAAACAAAACTACTTCAACTACTGGGTGGCCTCACTGCAAGGGTTAAGTGCTCTTTTCTGTCTAGGGGACCGGAGTAAAGCAGATATACTTACCTGATCATCACTGTACCGGCAGTCAGCACTCTCCTCTTCTCTGGCTGTGGACTGCCAGGGAAGTAGGGATCAGGTAAGAAAATCTGCTTTACTCCAGTCCCCTGACAAAAACAAGCACTTAACTCTTGTAGTGAGGAGATAGCCCCACTGCAAGGGAAGGTTTTTGGTTTGCCTGACAGTGTCCTTTAAAGCAGAACTCCAGGCAAAGAAACATTCACTTAAATATAATCCTCAAGAGTAACAAAAGGATATAAATCCACTTTGTGTGCACGAAATGTCGTCGCAAACCCCTCATTGTGTTGTACATAGCCTGTTCAAAAAGCAAAACTGTGGTAGGGACCCAGCAGTCCGCACTCACTATAGGCTGGCTGCAGAAAACTGGAGGAGGGGGTGGATATAAGACCAGTCACCATGCGCAAGGAGAGGGAGAAGCAATGACTGGTCTTTATTACAGGAAGCTTCTGCATGGAGGCAAAGGCTTACACTAGATAACATAGGTCTGTAACAAATACACAAAGCACAAAGATTCAACTAAGAACACACATGCTTCTTGTATTTAGAGAATATTTGATAATCCTGGAGTTCAGCTTTAATGCCTGTAGGCATCTGTAGACAATTACAAAGACTGTCGGGCAATATATACATCCAACAAACTTGCAACCCCTCACCCCCAACTTCGCTTATTGTCTAAGTGCATTTAAGATCACTTGCCACTCATAAGAAAACATCCAATAGGTTCTCAAACTGTATAAACAGTTCAGCCCTTTGAATATTTTGGGTTCTGTAACAAATATGTTTTCTCATTTGGCACTTGCATAACATGTAACATAGCAATGACTAGTGTTAAAAGGGAAAAGTTCCTAAAGTAACTGAAAAAGGATAAAATGTTTTTCTCCTTTTGGGTTATTGCATTTTCTTCATTTCTTTACATGCAAGAACATTAGAAAGAACATTCCTGATTAGAAGACCCTCAATGTAATAAAGTGGAGGGTTGCCACCTGCCTGCCTCTCACGTTTACTTATAACATGTTATGGTTTCATCACAATATCAGATGTTACTGGTGGTTGAACAAGTACAGTCTGTAATAGTAATTAGTCTCCCAAAACACAATGGGGGCTGTAAGATTGGTTGGGGAACCCCTTAATGTTACTACATATAGGGGAAAATCCCTTTAAAACATGTTGACAAATAATTTAGCCACAAAACCCCTTTATCCCAACCTTGATAAACCAGGACAAACCCTGAATCTCACCGATTTCTGACTGAGCTCTTCACTAAGAAACTCATAGTCTTTAGCTTTGTCTTCTACTTCCTGTGACTTCTGATCGTAGTTGACAGCAAGTTCCTCCAGAGCCTGCAGGACTTCCTTCACTTCTTCTTTGGAGGCGTCATTCTCCGCTTGTAGGCGGTTTAATTCGGCCTGCAAGTTATCCTGATCCCGTCTTGTGGAGGCCAGTAGCTGGGGAAATGTAAACAAAATCTTTTTTTTAAACCGATACATATTCATGGAATACACAAGTCATTCCCATAAAACACTAGCATATGTAAGAATAACCGTACAAGAAAGGAGGAGATAAAGTGAGAAAGATGCTGTAAGATGGGACATGGACAGAAAGGCCAAACCTTATGTAGTGGGAGAAGAAAATGTAATATAAAAAGATATCCCCAAATAGATGCAATGCAGAATGTGGGAACACCAAGTAAGCAGCTTTCTAGTAAGATCTTCATGACTCTTTACACAGCTCACCTCTTCCTGATCCAACATTTGTTGCTTCAGTTTTTCTACCAGCTGACTCTGCTGATTGATCTCTTCATCCTGTAAGGAAAAAAAAATTTGTTCATGAATAAAGATACATGAAGACAAAATGCTGCAAATCAAACATAACGTTCTCTAAGCACAGAAGCCGGGAGCTAGAATGTCAGCTAGACCCAACATTTTCAGTAATCACAATCTATTAGAGGGACCACTGTAGACTGGAGAAGTTCACTTGTTATTCTCTATTAAAATGGTGCTATAAAAAAAAAAACCAAGTCTACAAATTTTCCACAAATGAGGCCTAAAGATGACTTAAAACCTCCAAAACATTTTAGTGCACATAAACACAATAAACCTTTTTTTTTTGGGTAAAATATAAAAGATAAGGTTGGCTTTAAGAAGTTTTGGGGTTTTCTTTTTTATAAATCTTAATTCTACAGCTATCTCCGAGGAGCTTTTAGACTCCTGATGTCAACCCTGCAGTCTGTAGAAGCCAATCAAGCACAGAACACAGCAAACTTAAGTTTCAGGCGGGGGCATCCAGAAGTAAAAGAGCGGCTTTACAGCCACCCGAATCACTTCTACTAGAAATGGATTAGGGACACATGGCCTGAAATGCTATACAACTTTTGTTATGGTAGATTGAAATGCCTTTTGAAGAAGTTCAACAGCCATGTGACGGCTTTCTCTTTTTGGATTTGAATGGCTGGCAGGTGCTATCCCAGATTGCACCAAATTCACACTGGAACACAATTACTTTGCATTCATGGAAAACTTCTACCGGCAGATCAAAGGCACAGCGATGGGGGCAAATTATGCCCCGAGCTATGCGAATCTTACTATGGGTTTTTGGGAAGACCACTCCATATGGGCCAATAACCCTTTTGCGTCCCACCTCATCTTCTATGTACGCTACATTGATGATATTGTGATCATCTGGGACGGCCCCATCGAGTCCATAACAGCATTTGTGTCCCACTGCAACCGAAATAAACTAGGCCTCACTTTCACATACGTGAACAATCCAGATAAATTAGTATTCCTAGATTTGGAATTATCCTCTGACGGTAACGTCATTACCACCTGCAATCACATAAAACCCACCAGCGGCAACTCGTATGTACATTTCAACAGTTGCCACCACACCCGATGGCTTCAAAACATCCCCAAGAGCCAGTTCTGCAGGCTAAAGCGGAACTGTTCCAGATTAACAGATTTCACTGCACAAAGTAAACTACTCACCAATAAATTCAAGGACAAAGCTTATCCAGAAACACTCATCCACAACGCATACTCTGCATATCTACAACCACCTAGACTAGAAACAGACACCCGCCCGGAGCCCATAGCAGAAACCCGTTTCATCACCACATTCAACAATAATCATAACAAAATACAAAGTATAATATCGAAAAAATTGGCACATCTTAAAACAAGACCCCAAATTAGGCCCGTACATTTCCACCAAACCTGCAGTCACTTTTAGAAAGGCCCGTTACCTTAAAAATAAATTAGCACCAAGTAGGATATCAACCGGGGCCACCAGAGACTCACCACACCAGAAATTCGATAATATAGTGGGAATATATCAATGTAAAAAATCCCGCTGTTAAACTTGCCAGTTCATTACTCACGGCCAATCCTCCTACGGACAGAACAGGGGCTATAGATCCACCCCCAAGTTGCCCCTAATTGTTCAACCTGGCATCTCCCCGTGTGGATGCACATCCCCCGGCTCACCAGTTCCAGGTAGATACCACGGATGACCCGATCCTTCGCACCGGCCGTCCATCCTCTGGTCCCATTAATTAAAATGTAGGTGCTTATTCTTTTTCCTCAGCTATCCATTGGTTTTTTCGCCCATTGAACCCATTGTCACACAATTTTCCTGTCATCTTCCCTGGGTCTTCCGACCCGGTCAGTTAGCCCACCCAGTGTTGCGCCCTTTTGTTTTTTTTTGTTTCTAGCTATCCCAGCACCGACATTCAGAGAGCTTCATTGGGATGGCTGGCAGGGGCTATATTCTGGCACCTACATTCAGAGAGCTGCAAGAGCTTGTGTTTAGTGTTTATGTGCACTAACCCCTTCATCACTACCATTCTTTAACAAGTCAGATACTGATTTGTGCTGCACCTTTCACATGTTCTATTATATATGTACAGAAGTGAATACTGTATAGCGTTTACCTTGTCATCCAGCTGTTTGTACAGTTTAGCAACCTCATCTTCACGCTGTCTCCTATCAGCATCCGTGAAATTAGCAGTAAGTATCACAGCTGGCTTGTCATTGGCTACCACAGTGTCCACGACAAATGCATCCAGGTTGGCCTTCTCCTTGTCAAACTGCTCTTCAATAGGCACCGATTCACCTGCAGGTCACAGAAAGACGTTATGCTCTAGGAGTTTGTAGATCTGGGTAAAAGATGACTCTCTCTCCTGCTAACATTTTACTTTGTTACATACTGTAGCCTTCCAGTTGCAAGGAGCGAACCCATTTATGAAGATTATGACTACTGGAAAAGTGATTATTACTGGAAAAGTAAAGAGTATATAGAGCACCTCATATTTCCAAAAGGAGAACTGCTTAGAGATAATTACTCCTGTCCCAATTATACCAGTAGACACAAAATCAAGGGCCAAATTCTTATCAGTAGCCAATCCATCTATACAGTATGTTAAAGCGGACCTTCGCCCTCCCCACCCACTATCCCTCACTACACTTCTCCCATTTCCTCAATTTCCTCTCTCACAATGGGGCATTTATTTTTCCCAAAATACTTTTTTTTTTTGGGACCCCGTCTGGTACTTCTGATTCTTGCGTAGGTGAAAATGACATTGCAGTTGCCTGCAGCCTCCTAAGGTCACGCATTCCAGGAGACCACAGGGTGGTCTACAGCACATGTGTCACTTTACGTCATCAGGCACACGGCTGTCTCTTCCTGGTTCTTGCAGCTGGCCGCCTCCTGTATAGGTGATGCAGCACATGTGCTTCATCATGGGGCTCTCTGCAAAAACCTGGAAGATACCTGACCCTCTGATGATTCAAGTAAAGATGATGTTGTGGCACCCAGCATGCAGATGGACTATGCTGGTATCCAGCTGGTATATGCGCGTATCGCTGGGCATGCGAGTATGTATTTTGAAGACAACTTAGAGAACAAGGTAAAAGAAGGTTAAAAAAAAAAACCACAACAAAGGGTGCAGGTATCTCCCTAGGCACAACACAGGGAGAACATATAAACCCAGCTAAGACACTGCTATTAGGAGAAAAAGAAACCAGAAACTCAAGTGATACAATGAACAGTCCTAACCACTTGGATACCATTCCACAAAAATGATTCATACCCAAGCAGTCTTAAGCTGGCCATAAACCTATAGATTATCTGCAGATTTTCTATGGTCAGATGGAAAATGTTTTCTCCATCTACGCTATACTGTGTGGATGGAGGAATCTCCCATTTAGCGTAGATGGAGGAATCTGTTTTTTGCACTTTTTTCATCTGACCAAAGAAAATCTGCAGATAATCTATAGGTGCATGGCCAGCTTTATGCAGTCTCTGTACACAAAGTTAACTCACAGCCAAGTAAGCATTCATGCTTTTGTGATAAAGAAGGTCATTTAAGGGCTGAAATGCTTGGTTTTCCTGGACAAAAAGCTACTCTAGGCATTCATGTTGATTGTTACATGACCAAAAAGTTTAGGCACTGGGTTATGAGATTTTTATCTAAGGGGACTATCAACATTTAGATTCCATAATCCCTCCTGATAGCAGCATTTTGGTTTTCAGGCAGTGATATGGAACTAGGGAAGCAGATTCACCACTGCTTTCCATTATAAATCCAATAATCTATGCCTGGTCTCACCTTTACGCCAGCGAGCAAGCTCGTTTTCCAGGAACTGCACTGTAGCTCGCAATGACTTTGTCTTCTCCTTTTCCTTCTCATATTTCTTCTTCCACTGCTCAGCTGTGAGCTCAACATTAACACACACAGTGTTCTTAATGGTCTTCGCTCTAGTGAAAGTAAAACAAGGAATGGTTACTTTTGATCTCCTCCACTCAGTGCTAAAACAAAGATGTAGCCGTGTAACTAAATTGCATTGATGCAGTAAAAATGCTAAGAGAAGGCAGTCTGTAATGCTTTGCTACTTTCATATTTAGTTTAAGCTAGTTTGAAAAAAGCTATAAAAGCCTATGCGCCCTTACATACCAGGAAGTGCAAAGCTCTTACCTTCTAGTTGTTCCCTATAACATAGCAAACGTTCATTTTTTTTAATTTATTTTGTCATTCATGTCAACTTTAAGAAACACTAACCAACCCTGAACATATTAATTTGGTTATGTTCTGTGATGCTAACTGCACATTTCATTACAGAACTGTAAAAAAAAGCTCTTTAAAAGATCACTATGGGGTAAGTGTTTTTTCCCATATTTCTCTTAAGGGTCACGAGAGGACATATACTAGCGTCCTCCCGTGACCCAAAGCGCGAGCTACAGCTCCCGGTATACTAAGACCGCCGCAGCCGGGACAGATCCCGACAATGCAGTCGAGATCCACCCAGCTGTGTGAATCTAGAGGCAGAGCCAGCTGTGACTTCCCCGTCCCCGGTCCGTTACTCCAGTCAGCGCTGGAGTATTGGAGAAGGGAGGGAGGAATCCCTGTGGGGAGCCGTGACTGACAGTCCCCGCTCTCTGCAGGGAGATGATAGAGAAGTGAGCGAGCGACGGTATGTGTTCACTCACTTCCCGATCTATTGAGCTGACCTGTGACAGTTTCATTGTCACACGTCGGCTCAAACTATGAGGTTGAGTGATTTTCACTCACCTCATAGGTCTCCTTTAATTAGTCAAAAACTCCACTACATCTTTATGGTCAAAAACTGAGAATGCAGTCGATGGAGGTCATGTGATCTTTCCAGTGACATCCTTATATCCATACAGGGCAAGCTATTTGGTTGCTCAGCCAGAGATACAACAATCTCATAACATGACAAAATGCTACAGATGAGCAGATTGGGGCAAAGTTATGAATGCACACTATAATCATTCAGTTTAGCAATACAGAGTCTTTGATAATCAGTTTCTTCTATCTTTACTAACAGAGTGATTTCAATACTTGTATGTCATTCCCTACAAACATTTGTTTTGTGTCGACTTTATCTCCGGTGACCAAACAACAGACAGAATAAAATGCAACAGCTTTCTCACCTTTGACCAAACATTAGAGTAGACTTTGTTTCAGACTCATTGTACGAGGATGGTGAGCAGCAGATTACAATAGTGGTTCGACAATTGCCTCCTAGGGAGTCTTGGAGGATTCTAGTCATTTTACTGTCTCGATATGGAATATACACCTGTGTGAGGAAATACTGTTACATCAAGTACGCTGGAAAATCTAAACTATGACTGTTGATTACAGTTTGTTTTACAAACTGTCTAAGCTTTCCTACTAGAACCAGGGTCATATAATATATTTGTCTAGCCGATGATGTAAATAAACTTATTTAGAATTCTTAGACAATGCAAGCTGTGACATGTATTTATATTCCTTGCCAAACTGCAAAAATAAGTAGTGTGTTTGTGTATAGCCATAGAGTTCTATATATAGAAGAACCTCATACCAACAAGTAGGGATGCACCTATACTAGTATTGATATCGGTGCCGATACCGAGTATTTGGGCGAGCCAAGCACGAGTACTTCCTGTATCAGGAAGACGGGCAGCGCATCATTACATGCTGCCCGGTTTCCTGATTGGCCGGGAAGCGGCTCCATGCTCTCGTCACTTGTGATTCACTTCCCGGCCAATCAGGAAGCCGGGCAGCGTGTAATGACGCAGCGCCCGGCATTCTGATTGGCCGGGAACCTGGCTTTATGATCCCTCGTCAGCTCATGACGAGGGAGCATGGAGCCGGCCTCAAGGCCAATGAGAAAGCAGGCCCGTCAGACTGGGTACCGGAGGAAGGGCGCGTTCTGGCTGGAGAGGCCCCGGGGGTGACCGGCTGGACATACCAGGGTAAGAGGGGACAGACATTCTTGTTAATTGAAAACCCGGGTGGCGAGTCTTTACACGCTGCCCGGCTAATCAGGAAGCCAGGTGGCGAGTCACTACACACTTCCTGAATGGGACTTCCGTTACTCAGTAATTGGAATCGGCGAGTACCGGAAAAAAAATTATCGGTACTCGGTACCAAAATACCGGTATCGGCGCATCCCTACCAACAGGCATATAAACCCCTTTAAAAATCCTATTGGGCTTGCAGCAGCAACGCCTGCTCCTCAAGACGACAATAATACAATCTGTGAAATGTATTTATATTCCTTGCCAAACTGCAAAATAAGTAGTGTGTGTATAGCCAGAGTTCCACTTTATAGAAGAACTCTATGCCAACAAGCATATATACACCTTCTAAAATCCTATTAGGCTTGTAGCAGCAACGCCTGCTCTTCAAGAAGCTTGACAGAAGAGTAGAGATAATAATGTGGATGTACAGGAGAGAGGTAGGTGTGACCAGTGCAGTTTGCTAGAAGCCATGAACAGCACACTGGAGGTGAAGCAGTGGCTTGGAAGCAGCATAACTGCAGGCTGTGAACAGAGGTATCTCCCTGCGGCTGCACAGCTATATAGTACAGCAATGCTTGGTTGAAAATGTATCAAAGTGTTAGTGGAGAAGGAAAAGAAATTGAAACCTGGAATAGACCCCAAGAAAACATAATCCAGAGTATAATACTAACAATACAATTCAGGTGTGCTGACAACTTACACTGCCTTCAGCCAGGGCAGAGATGACATTTCCAAGGGATGACAAAGATTTGTTGATGTTTTTAGCTTCATCGAGCACAGATCCTTCGGCTCCAGTTTTGCTAACCTAAAACCATTACAGAAGAATTACATTTTGAAATGCATTACAAAAGTCTTAGTATTCTTGCATCAGAGGAACTTTTCTAGCCAAAATGGCATAAAAGATACATTGCTAACAATCAAGAATTCATACAGAATAAAAATGTCTCTCCCACTTGTTTGGAATCCATATTTTCCCAACTTTCCCACTTCTTGTTCATATTGTCAGAAAGCTTGAGCTTATTCAGCAATACACGGAGCATTTTGCAACAACCCGTAGCAACTAATCGCATTGCATCTTTCACTGATAAGACTACAGTAAGCAGGGACCAGACTATGGGATACTGTACCTTGCGCTGCTACAAACTTCATACAACAGGTTTTAGTTCTTTGCATTAAATTCAACCCATATATTTTAAAAATAAAGTGGCAATGGTCACTTGCTGGGAACCAATGTATTTGACTCATAACTATCATTGTGACCATTGCTATCAGTAGCAGCCTGGATACAAATATATAGTGAACATGAATCTGTATGCATGCTTTAAAAGGTCATGAGATGGTGATCGACCTAGTGCACGAATGTACTGCAAAATTGTGGACACATTGTGTACATTGTGGTACATAAGGAATGGCATCAAATGACTATGCACAGAAACATCCACAAAACCAGAATATATGATGGTCTTGTACATTTTCAAAAGAGTAAAATCAATCTAAAAGCACAAGCTTAGAGCAGCTTACCTTTTCACTACCGGCCAAATCAACCAAGTAGAGTTTACCGCTCAGTTTCTGCTCTGTTTGAGTGTTTTCTTGCTTTACATTAATTAGAAAAATGCTGTGACTTCTAGAGCTGTGTTCATTCATATCTAAAAGAGGTGAAAGAATATAATTACAACTACAACAGAGTATACATATTTTCACTTGTAGCCTAATATTAATGTACAGCGACGTCCAACTCAAGGCCTGTTAACATTGCATGCTTTCTTTATGGCCAAGTTAGGGTAAAGCTTAATTAATGGAATGCATGAGAACAGCAGCCAATATCTCACCTGAAATACTTAAATACATGTTTTCACAAGTTGGACATCACTACTATACATTTAAATAACCTAAAAGTCTTAAGAGTATGCTCTCCACACTCTGCAGGACATTGCAGAGAATACTCCACATATAGCCTGTGCTTCATGTTTCATTCATAAAATGCAGAGCACAGGGTGACGTCTGCAGAATCTTGTCAAGTGTTTTTTTTTTTTTTAAAGGTATTTATATAGCGCTGACAATTTATGTAGCGCTTTACATAGTGCACATTCACATGAGTCCTCATATGCATATGCTAGGGCCAATTTAGAAAGGAGCCAATTAACATACTAGCATGTCTTTGGAGTGTGGGAGGATATCAAATCTGGAGAAAACTCACGCAAATAGTGTCCCGAATGGAATTCGAACAGGGGACCCCGCAGTGCTGCGAGGCAGAAGTGTTCTCCGCACACCGCTCCAAAGTACAATGAAGGATAAGCAAGCTCTGTGCTAGTCATGTGACAGGTTTCCTCCTCCCCTTGGCATTACCCCCTACTCTCAATTACTGGAATGAATAGTTTTACTTTACCGTCCACAAACAAGTGAAGCATAAAACACATTTGTAAAGCCCAACGCTGTACTTTATGTATAAAAAAAACCCCGCTGAAAAGCTGAATAAATAGTTGTCCCTTTAGAGAATTAAGAGAAGGAGCTCAGAAAGTAATTCTTACTAGAAAAAAGAAAAAGAAAAAAAGAAAAAAAGCTCATATTGCATTATAGGAATATGCACTTTCCCACCATGACAGAGAAGGAGGTTTGTCATACACAGTTAAGAGAACACACAAAAGTAAGTTCCTACCCCAGATAAAATACATGGGACACAGGACTTGGACATGTCATCAATGCATCTTTTTAACTGTCCACTTTCTGCTGACCTTGCAAAATCGTCACGCAATCCTGGCATCAGGTGCCTTGGATGCAAGGGTCTAATAAGAACGGTCTATTCCAGGCAGAGTAACATTTTGATCATGAATTCTGTTAGCAAAAATCAGATGCAAAAAGGTGTACAGCACTGGCAAAGTTACTGGCAGATGGGTACAAGGTACAGGGTTGGGCTGGGTGCCATTTTAAATACCATGAGTGCTCCACATGAATCAAATATAGAAATGTAGGGTTTGCTATTGCTAAAATTGTATGACACTAAGAGGAGCTACTCTAAAAAGAAAGTGAAGCCATTATTAGCATGACCGTCCCAGAGCTAACACCCTTAAAAAGAGTCAGGACGGCAGGACCCAAATTACCCAGGACTGCGTTAGTGTAAAAGGAGATTATGGCGGTCATGTGCAACTTACTTGTCACAGCTACATGTCTGTTAGATTTTCCTTCATCTATAGTATCCATGACTTCTTCAGGACTACAAACGAACCGTTCAGTACAACCCTACAGAGGAAAAGGGTAACCCAATAAAGCAAAAGCAATAGAAATGTGTGCACATACAGTACATATACATAATACAGCAATGTGTATACACACACAAACACACAAATATTTAGAGTAATTACGAGACCCACCTTTACATACGGAACTCTGTTTTTGTCTTCATGAACAGACAGATTTATTTTTGACACTGGAATAAAAGAGAAGGAGGAATTTGAATGTGTCTGAATACATTAGTGGTATAACCTCTGCATGGGTACCACGTCAAGGCCTGTGCACAGCAGATTCAGAGGCAAGCCTCAAGACTCGATGGGAAAATGTTTTTGACAGTGTTCGAGTCACTTAAAGAATTTAGAATTGCACCGACAAGCAGAATGACAAGACAATCATTGTCTGAGTGCTGCAAAAAACAAACATTTGCCAAAATTCCGCCTTTGTGTAAAGGGGAAACTAGGGGGGACCTCTTTATTCGGTAGAAAACTTCAGGCAAGCAGACATCTGAGTACCACTGAGCAGTCAACAATAGCCCATTCCTCCAGAGGCACTAGAAAAATAATGGCTCCACCAGTGCGATCAGCAGTAGTGGCCGATTCCGTGACCGCACAATTTCGTGTACGATTGCCGCGCGGTCACGAATCGTCCAAGTGTGAACTTGGCCTCAAGTACAATTAACTCCATCATATCCACACACCACGTGGGGGTTAAGAAAAGGTTATGCACATATAACTTACCATCCAATAGATCTCTAATCTTGTCTAGGTAGATTTCAAAATATGACACCTAAAACAAAACAAATCATTTGTAAGAAAACAAAAACATTTTACTGTGGATTTTTTTTTAGAATATTCTTTACTTATGAAATTAAAAAAAAAAAAAGCCAGTTGCCTCTATTCCTATTGTTTTAAAGGATAGTTTTACTTTATCAGAGCCTGCACTCGGATTGTGTGACATGGACTGCCTACAGATAATTGTATTAGTACCTTGCAGACCTTGGTATGCACTTTGTGTACAATTTCCCAAACTGCTGCTTCTCTGAACAGATCCTGGCATGTCCACAACCTGCAGTCCAATGGGTGGTGTCTGCCTCGATATAGCCATTATCCTCTAGGGCAGTGGTGGCAAACCTATGGCATGCGGTGCCCTCTCTGCTGGCATGCCAGCCATACGTGTGAATGTGTTTTATTAAGTGTATAAATGTTTGAATATGTGTGTTTCCCTATTTTGCCTAAGGCCCCATTCACACTGTGCGTAAAATCCCGCTATTTCGCGCATTATCGCGAGAAGTCGCCGGCCAATGTTATTTAACGGAGCTGTTCTAATGTGCTCCATGTCGCCCGTTGCTCTTTGCTGTCGCTTCAGCAGGACCCTTTTTCCCGCGATTTTTCTATTTTTGAATGCAGCCCGACTGTGATGGTCGCGCGATCTTTGCTGGAACGTCGCCCCGAATAATCGCGATATCCCGGCCCCGCTTGTAAGGTATGTCGCTTGGTGGGAATTGTGTCCTAATGCAGTGATGTTGAACGTTTCTTAAACCCGAGCGCCCGAACTGCAATACAGTACTAAACCTATTTTCAGCGCTGGCACTTTTTTGGTAAATAAAATGATTTTGCGTCGCAGTTTGGGCACTCGGGTTCAAAAAGGTTCGCCATCACTGCTCTAGGGTCTTGCCTGGATAAAGGTTGCAGACAAAGCTGGTCTATTCGGAGCAGTGTTGTGGGTTGTACTGAGTAAGGATACTATTGAAGCACTTCAAAAATATACTAACATTACATGGCCTACGGTTTGCTAAAACTCATCAATCACACCTATAAAATCGGCTAGCTGAACATCCCATTCTAAAGCCATGTGCAGTTATATGGAACTGCCCCTCTTCCTATTGCAGCTATAACAGCCTCCACTCTTCCAGGAAGGAATTACATAAGATTTTGGAGTACTGTAAGTCTTGGGAAATCTTTGACCCTTCAGTCATAAGAACATTTGAAAGGTCAAGTACTGTTGTTGGACTAGAAGATTTGGTCCTTGAGCAGCTTTAAATCTCCTCCAAAAATGGAGTTTGATAGGTTTAAAAGGAGAACTATGGGGTTAAGGCTTTTCCCCATAGTTCTCCTTAGGGTAACGGGAGGACACAAACTAGCGTCCTCCCGTCACCCTAGGCTCAGGCTACAGCTCGCGGTATACTGAGACGCCGCAGTATACCGGTATACTAAGACGCCGCAGCTGAAGCGGATCCCGACAATTATGTCTGGATCCGACAATTATGTCTGGATCCGCCCAGCTGCGTGACTGACAGCGGGCTCTGCCTACCTAGAGGCAGAGCCAGCTGTACCCGCCCCCTCCCCTGTCCGTTCCGCCAGTCAGCGCTGGCGTATCGGAGCGGGGAGGAGGGAATCCAGCCCCTCCCCTGTCACGGCAGAGAGCCGTGACAGGATCTACAGGATCTACTGAGCCGACCTGTGACAGTCTCTCAGTCGGCTAGAACTATGAGGTGAGTGAAAAGCACTCACCTCATAGTTCTCCTTTAAAGCCAGGTGACTTGAGTTCCTCCACACTAAACTGGTGAAACCCTGTCTATGTCATATGGGAACAGAAAAGAGCCCCTTACGTAAGTTACCACAAGGTTGGAAGTGCACAATTGTCTAAAAAACCTCTTTGTACTGTATGGTATGGCAGTGGAAATCCATGAACTCAATATTTTGGAAGGGTATCTACATACTTTTGGCCATATAGTGTATATCCTAACACTATCACCAGCCCATAACTGTCTGATCTGAACACAGGCTTTGTTAATGCAGGCTAAAGGGAGACATTATTTCTGTGCAAACAACACATCCTTCATGATAAAATCAAAGCAATGAATAAAGAAACCTCATGTAGATATGAGAGTGCCACTTTTGCCCTCTCAGACTGCGGATGATGCACAACTGACCATATTAAGGTGGTTTATCGTAGGTTGTGTTTTGGTTTACCTTTATATGGAACTCCAGGTTCTCATCCATGGAATAAATGTAGTTAAATATATCTTGCACTATTCTGGGAATAATACCCATTCCATCTGTATCATGTAATTTTCCCTAAGGAGAAGAAAAGAAAACATTCCTATTAGCACAGTACAAGCACATCAACACAGCAGTTACCACAGCAAACAGCGTGATTTTTACCTCCATGGTGTGCGTCTTTCCGGATGATGTCTGTCCATAAGCAAATATTGTGCCATTGTATCCTTCGAGTACATCTGCAGGGCAAAGTGTTGAATATTAATTCAACCAATCCAAGACCACGTAATTCCCCATTCTGAAAAGCTCCTTAAAGTGGTAGTAATCCGCTGTGACCTGGGTGGCATTTTGCCCTAGCATATTTGCACAGTAGGGCACAATCAACTTACTCAGGGGTGTGGAAATTTTTGAAAAAACTACTTGTCCAAGGGCTAAAGCGGGGGCCAAATCTACTTTTCCTTCATAACAATCTACTTGTCCCAATACAAAAAAAATAATTTTAATTAAAACTAGGGATGCACCAATACCGGTTTTTGGGTATAGAGTACCGATATTTTGCTTTCGGTACTCACCGAGTATGGGTGCTTCCGTTTGCATGGAGCAGGCTTCCCGGCAATCAGGAAGCCGGGCAGCGGGTAATGAGATGCCACCCGGCTTCCTGACTGCCAGGGAAGCCGACTCCATGTTTGGCCGGCTTGATTGTGAATGGCTTGGAAGCCGGTTTCCCTGCCAATCAGCATCGAGCCAGCTTCCTGGCCAATCAGAAAACCGGGCGGCGAGTAATGACCTGAT